TTTATTATTTATTATAATTTTAATTTTTAAAAAAATGCAAACTTTTTAATATTACATATAATAATAATAACTTGTCATTGTAGCTGGAATTTTGAAACCATACTTTGATCCTAGAATCGTGAATGGAGAAGATGCCAAAGAAGGCGAAATTCCATATCAGGTACATATTGCCCCAAAATAATGTATAAATAAAGACATAATTATTAAAATTTGCGCTTCTTATAATTTATAAAAATATTTTTCATTGCGATTAAGAACATCAAAATAAGTAAATGCATAAATATTAGAGTGCTATTATGTTTATAGGTTTCTCTTCAAGACAAATATTCTTCCTTCCACTTCTGTGGCGGCTCAGTCCTGTCTGAACACTACGTTATCACGGCAGCTCACTGTGTTGCGGGGTAATTTTATTACAAGTTCTTTCGCACTACATTAACCACAAATATTGTTAAAGTCATATAAAAGACGCTAAGACATAAATGAAACTTATTTTTTTCCCCTTTGCTCTATTATTCTAATATTTGCGTAAATATTGTTTCGCCAATAAAAGAAATATAACACACTCATTAGGAGAGATTATTTTTTCGGATAGATGTTTTAATAATTAAATTTTTATCATATATATAGCAAATCAGCCTCGAGCGTAAAAGTTATTGCTGCCACCATCAATCTGAACAAGCCACAACTGACAAATGAGGTCACAAATATCTGCGTGCACGAAAGATATGACTCCTCTGATTCCTGGATTAACGATGTTGCTTTATTAAGGGTAAATGAGCTTTATTACAAATTTTCTTTCTACAGAAAATTAAAATTATTTGGTCCTTCCCAATTTTTTCTACTAATCAATAATACTTAAGTAAAAATTATCTTTCAGGTGAAAGATGCCTTTGTAAGATCTGCAGTCCTTCAATACGTTCCTTTGCCACCAAAGGGCCACGTTGTCAACGCCAACGATGTTGCTGTTGTATCAGGATGGGGCCGACTTTGGGTGAGTTTTCTACTTCCCTAACAATTTTTTTCTCGCGCGCAATCTGCGCTATCTTTTATGTAAAGACCGAATTCTTAAGATTATATTTATATTTATTATTTATGACACGCACGGGCAAAAAAGTAAAACAAACTACACTATCACTGAAAGCACAGCAATTATAAATATTATTGCAAAATTACAGCAAGGCGGACCAACTACTGAAAAATTACAACGAGTCAACATTGTGATTGCTGACCAAGGCTACTGCGCCAATATATACAACAAAATGGGACACCACGTCTATGACACACAAGTTTGCGCATACGATCCGCAAGTGGAGAAAGGATCTTGCCACGTAAGTTCTCCTCAAAATTTTAATATCTATTTTATCCACACATTCATCTACATTTAATATTATCACATTAATAATATATTATATGAGCACAATCTCTTAAAATATAATTAACGCACGTCATAATAAAAAAAAACAAGATTTAACAAGATAAAATATTCGATTCAATGCTATATTTAAAATGATACCTTTTTCTAGGGTGACTCTGGTGGTCCACTGACCGTCGGTGGAGTACTCGTTGGATTGGTATCCTGGGCGAATGGTTGCGCCAGTACTTCCTACCCGACTGTTTACACACGTGTCGTCTCTCATGTTGATTGGATTAAATCTAATGCGGTCTAATGCAATTCTATTCTATGATTCATTCGCTGCGTTTTTTTTTATGTAACCCTTTAACGATCAATTGTTGAAATCGAGAAAAGAAGATTTTCTGGTGTGTATACAGATACGATAACGATGTGACGTAGGGTTGTACAAAATAAGTACCCTCAAAATTTTGTACACATTTTCAACATAATAAATATGTATATATATGTATATATATTGTTTAAATTTGTACAAAGAAGATCGTTAATAAATATATTTAGTTTGTACTAAAAACCTATAAAGTTAAATTATCACATGATAAATGCTATCTATCGCTTATCACGAATCAAGTCTAGAGGGATTTCGTTATAGTACTATCGAATCTAGTACAAGAGATTGAATAGAATTCTTGGCAAAATCAATACACCGTGACCGCGCGACGCTCACGTGTTGCTCTTATTTCCGGCGACACTTGGAAGAACGGAAACGATCGATGCGAACATTTTAACTGTAATTGACAATCATGATCATAATGTCGTTTATCAATTGCATGATTCTAAATAAAAAATATTCGTTAATCGCATCATTAATAGCACCACAAATTTATTCTTATCATCTCCTATATGATCTTCTATATGACTTTTAATATCACAGGGAAAATAATAAATTTGTCAAGAAAACAGTTAGATTATATTTTCCGGATTTATAGACAAAAAAAAATAATTGTAAAGAAAAGAGAAATTTTCCGAGTGCCGCAAGAAAAGATAGATAAAAAAGATATAAAGAATATAGCCAAATTTATTTCTTTTTCTTAAAAATAATCAATAGCACACATTAAAAATTTTCAAATAAGAATAAGACGAAAAGTAACTCTAACGGGATAGCTGCTTCTTGACAACAGAAAAACATGAGCACGGATTATTCGTACCGAATTCTATTCCGTCACCCGTATTTACATTGCTAATAAAATTTTATTTCTGCTTTCGCCAGTGTTCCACAAGAAGCGCGTGATAGACTCTTACGTCACTCGCCGGATTTGTTTTGTCCCTTTTCGACGATTTTACTTGGAGCGTAAAAGAGCCTAGTAGTTGCTCATTTCCGACGGAAGACAATGTCATTATTAATTCACTACGCATCTCTCAAAGAAATAATTTTCTTGTTTTATCTGTAAAAAAAAAAAAAAAAACTGCTTGCAGAAACCTAAATCATTTTCGCCACTTGTGCAGGAACCCGACTAATTCATAATTTCGGTGAGTAGAATTAGTACACACAATGAAATTTTCATCCGCTGTTAGATTTTTAAAATTAATTTGTCGTTTAGATCATTTTTCGTCCCAAATACGTAACAGATCAACTGGATCACTGTGTATTGCGTTTACAATTATTCCTAAATAATTATTCAACTTCGCGCTAAATATAATATATTTACTGCTCGGCCGAAAAATAATAAGATCTATAATATTATATCAAGAATCGACTATACTCTCTGGCGAAATTCTCCGAGCCGATAAACTTCTATACTTGGTAAATTTTATAAACTCGCTAATTATAAAGAGTTAATTTCTACCATTTTATTATGGCATTATATAAACAGGTACGGATAAAACCGCAAACAGATAGCATTATTTTTTCTTATAACCGCGTCAGTATTTTGTAATTACGTTGGAAACAATCGCGCCTTTGCGCGTATATAATGCATAACTTTGTGATATATAATATTTAAATATAAGCATGTGCTAACAATAAGTATCACGTTTTAAAAAATCATACAAACATACAAAAAATATTAAAAATTATATTAAAAATTAAATGCGCACAAATCATTTAAATTAAAGAGATACGTGTGCGATTATATATCGTTAATTAAATCTGAAAGATTTAATTAAAAACATAAAAAATTCAAGAGATGTATTATTATCTGAATATATCAAACGTTTAATTTTTGCACAATACAAAAATATTTTAACTAATTTAACTCGATGTTTTTTTTGCGATTGTGATTTCAATTAAATCATTTAGTATATCTGCACTACAATGAATATCAACGCTAAGGAACGCCCTTCCAAAAAATATCGCGACGAAAAGTCTCGACGAAGCCACCGAAAAGCTTCAAAGAGACGAAGCCCTTTTCTATTCGCGATCAATTCGACATCGTCGCGCTACCTCCTCTTTCTTCCACCTTTTCTTTCTCTTTCTCTCTTTATTTTTCCCTCTCTTATTCGTCTTACAATCTTCCTTTCATTTCTTTTTTTAGACCCGTAAGTCGACCTTGAGGTCGTTGAAATAAGTCGAGAGTCGTCGCGACAACTCAATTTTATTGGAATTTTACAAATCATTTTATTGACTACAAAATATCATAGCTTTTGATTCGGTATAGGAATAAACGCAAATACTTTATTCAGAATATATAATGAAAAATGGTAAAATTTTATAATCAGCAGACATAAATCAAAGATAATTAATATATTTGAGACTATGAATTGATTGATCACAACACATAGATTTCATGAGAAGTTGTTTTAATAATTTATTAAATATCGACGTAATTTTCACGGAAACGTTTCCACAAAGTCTGTCGTTTATTTCATGTAATGATTATACCCAATTAGAGATTATAATGAAATACTCAGATATCACTTGCTTTTACTATTAAGAGCAACCCGATCTATAGAAATAGCTAAATTAGAAAAATATAATATCTCGCATTTCCAATCTACAATCGAGTAAATGGTCGCGCAAATAGGTTTAAATGAGTCCGAAATTATAGATCATAAACTCGAAACTTGCACCATTGAACTTTGTGCCTTCAGACGTATGAAATCGCGATACGGTAGACGCCCATTGAGTTCACCCGCTTCGAATGCTGAAGATAATTGCATTATACGATAGCGATGTAAAATATTGTTACGATCATGGCGTGAATGTGAAAACATTCTAAATTCTGAGCTTATCTAGTTTTATATTTTTCTCAATACATTTTATCACACTAATGAAATTTTTTTCTCATTGCATTTTTACTCGACAATATACATTAAAACTTCATTCTACAAAAACGAATACCGGAAAAGCATCCCGTTCGTATTCACGATTACGAGCCATATAACTCTGCATCTTTTCTATTTAAATATTCTTTTCAAGAATTCTTGAGAATATCTCACCCAATATTGAATAGCACGTGCGACGCATAGCATACGCGATTAAAGTCGAGCTTTGGCATGAAGCCAGTAAAATCTTTCTCTTTCTTTATATTAATAATAAAAAAGTGTTAAGTGTTATTAGTACCAACGTAAAAGTTTTATTCGATCAACATAGAATTGAGTGTTTTTTTCAATCTGATTATTAAATATCACGATAAGCAATTAATGACAGTAACTTGCAATTTGCAATGCAAGTTTGATTAATGTTATTTATGCTATTTTTTTGCTATTGGATGACAATCATAAAAGAATATCATTTCGATATCGTGAACAAATAATCTTTATTCCATACACGATTTCTCATACCAACAAATATCATCAAACTTTAAAGGGTTCACCTGCACACGAAATAGAGTACAGTACTTTTCGTCGATTCTCTAGAGACTACTGGACTTTGAAATGCTCTTGTGATAAGATATATATATGCGAGAAAGTGGAATTAAAGTCATGATGCTCACATTGGTACGAATCATCATATCAATCTTTACTTTCTTTCTTATTAAAGTTATATGCTATTTAAACTCAATTAATGTGACAGAAATGTAAAAGAAAATTGTACATACTGTTATGATAAAAAAATAAAACTAGTTTTTAAATATATCTTTTACGTCATGTGATTTAACTCTCTATTGATGATATATTCGTATGATTCTCTATATATTGTTTGTAGTACTTTATATGTAGATGAAAATAAAATATGTCAATGCATATAGCACTCACGTGTTAACACGTGTCACGCGCGATTCGCGATTTACGAAAGTATAATAAATAACTCGGAATATATATTCCGAAATATCATCCCTCTTCGTGCTATCTCGTATCCAAACAGAAAAAAAAAAAGCAAAATATGGAATCGCGGTGCGTGGACTTAATTAAGAGCGAACTCGAAAGCGGATAGACTCACCTGCTTGCGGAGCGGCGTGACGCACTCATCCTTGGTACGCTCGAAACGCTCGAACTTGAAGCTGTTGCTGCGGTAGAGCTCGTTGTCGCTCTGCTGCCTCCTGCAGAGCCGTCGCGTGAGCGCGCGCGGTCTACAGGGCGCACATTCGGCGGCGAGCTCCCAGTGCAAATGCAGCATCGCGAGCTCGGCGGTGCAGCGGGCCATCGCGCAGCCGGCGCGTCTCACGCGGCACTTGACCCGCTTGATACGGCCCTCGGATTGCGGTTTGTGACCGCACGGCTGAGTGCAACTGCAGTCCGTGCACGTGCGACGCACGCTGCGCGTTTTGGCCGTGTGCGGGCACGGCTTCGCCTCCTCGCCACACTCGCACTCGCATGGCGCCTCGCCGCCGCCTGTATGGGAGCAGTTTAATCTCTCGTCGGTGCATTCGCACGGCTGCTGCTGTGCTTGTTGCAGCTTCGACTGCGAGGAGACGGGGGAAGATGAGGATTGTGCGACTGCTCGGCGACGAGTGCCGGCGCCGCAGGATGTATGCCGGCAGGAACGATCGTTGCATTCGGATCTGCAATGAGAAATATGTGCATGTTAGATGAATAAGACAAATTTGTGAATGGCAAATTGTATCAAGTTTGTTAAATGTTAGTATACAGGAAAATTTGTGTTAAATTTAACATATATATTACATATGTCCCAAACGATCCACACAAATTTTTGTTTTAATTTAACATAATATGGATATATTAATTGGTAACATTAATACATATTTTTTAACAAGAAAGCATAAATTTTCCAACTGTGTAAAGGAAAAAAAAAAGAATTTTTGTTTATTTTTTAATTCAAAATTAAAAATTAATTCCATTGAAACCAAAGAGTGATTTCTCTCATTTGAAATTGTACGGATCGTAAATATCTGCTTTTGAAACATCGTATTGAGCAGGATGTATGCCGGCAGGAACGATCGTTGCATTCGGATCTGCAATGAGAAATATGTGCATGTTAGATGAATAAGACAAATTTGTGAATGGCAAATTGTATCAAGTTTGTTAAATGTTAGTATACAGGAAAATTTGTGTTAAATTTAACATATATATTACATATGTCCCAAACGATCCACACAAATTTTTGTTTTAATTTAACATAATATGGATATATTAATTGGTAACATTAATACATATTTTTTAACAAGAAAGCATAAATTTTCCAACTGTGTAAAGGAAAAAAAAAAGAATTTTTGTTTATTTTTTAATTCAAAATTAAAAATTAATTCCATTGAAACCAAAGAGTGATTTCTCTCATTTGAAATTGTACGGATCGTAAATATCTGCTTTTGAAACATCGTATTGATTTCTCGAGATTTATAAGTATATCTGTAGCAATTATGCAAGTGTCTATATATTACTGGAAACGTCGATTTTCATATAGCAACATATTTTGCCCGAAATATCTAACAGCCGCAAGTTAAACCGAGAGAGTTCCTATCGACTATTGGAAACTTCATTTAGCGTATTATCGCACAATGATATTGTGGAATGGTAGAATTCAGTTCGGGGGCCGAAAGATAGAAAAAAAAATCAGGTCAGACTGAAAAGGAGAACCGCGAGATGGTTTGCGAGCAACTGTATAACGATTAAATTTAGCCGCACGTAGATAATTGCATCGCGAGTAATAAATTGATTTCATTATAAATTGATTCAATAATTTAGTAATTTTCCGCCTCAATAATGCTATATTTGTAATTTCTTGAATTTCTTGCATGTTCTACGTTTCTCTATTAATGTGTATAATATATGTATATATTTGTGAGTCTCATCAACAAATAAAATTTATGCATATAATGTTTCAATTATTCGTTTATTTATCTACACAAGCTGATATTTTCAAATGTATAAATTTCATTCACAATAAAAAGTATTCTGTTTTGTGTAATAATTATATATTAAGACGAAATAGATAACCGTATGTAAAAAATAAGATAAGATTTATTTTTGTAATTTAATAAACTGTAAGCGATTTTTATGATATTTGTGATTGCGTGAACTAGAAACTAAAATAAAAATGTACGGTCGTATATAAAATTCACCGTGTAACACGTGGTACTTTATAAATCAATATCTCAGCATCTCTTTCGAAAATAAAAGACCATGCACGATTTAATATTCTTAAATCCATCTACTAGACGCTAAAATTTGTTCTGTTATGCCGACATGAAAACGCTTTTAAACGTCGCATTTGACATTTCATCGTCACGAAGATTACCCCATATTAATCCAGACAATGTAATCACTTCATTTATCCCAGCATTTGCATCACCCTTGGGCAACAGCGAAAATCCAGAGGTTAATTATGCTAGCTATACGTATTCATCTAAAACCTGCTACGACCAGCGCAAGTATCAACAACACATTAGCTCATGATCTTCATCATGCCTTCCACCCCTTTAACCGTGATCTTCTAGAACGCGCAGTCAAGCTTTATGTAATCGATCGCAAACTATAATATCACCATCAAATCGAACGATGCCTATAAACGATTATAAAACAAGATCGCCACCAATAGAATTAAAGCAACGCAAAGCAAAATATCCGCGGTAATGAAGGAAGTACGGCAAGTTTGTAACACCCTGTATGTGACAACGTATCCGAATGGACGTAACTGTTGCTTGTTATTCCTACTCTTATCGATCGAACGAAATAGCCGATAATATGAAAAGAGTTCAATAACAATAACAATTTTTCAAGGAAATTTATTCCACGATGTCGCAACAATTATTTTTTTATGTTTCATCACCGGAAGGTTGATGGTCAACAAGTGCTATCGATCGGATAAAGCACCTCATCTTGTTCACTCTATGCAATGGGACCGCAATACTTGAAAAACAGCTTTTTCACATTTACCTATCCCAATCTACAACCTACCCCAACAACAACAATAAACACGCTGCCTTCATTCACAGGATGCACTGTTCGGTATATATTTTATATTATTACTCCGTGACATTTGTGTTTATATTTACCTTCTGATTCTTCGCGCGGCCGATCCACGCTGTACATGCGGACAGGGTTGCGAGTCCGGCGGGCAGTCGCAGCTGGTGACGGCCGCGGCCGCGGTGGCGGAAGTGGCGGCTGGTCGCGTACGGCGGATCCTGATGAGCACTGGGTGCACAGGACACGGCTGTACCTGGCAGCCGCAGACGATAGTCTGGGGTCCGCCGCCGCGGGATTTACGGCCGCCGCCGCCGCGCTTCGCGCGTTGGTCCACGTGCAGCTGACACGGCTGTACGGGACAGCCGCAACGGGCCGCGGCGGCACCGCGACGCCCGGCACCCTGTACGCGTCTCCACACCCGCTCCATTCAACGACCGGCGTGCGACTGACAATCGGCC